TGCAAACTCAAATACCAAAGGGGACAAGAAGATTAAAGAAATGAGTTGGGTCAGATAACAGCTGGCTATTCACCAAACCTGTTACCTCCTCTTTCTGGGCCCACTCTACGATTACGTGTCCCAGCCTCTCTCTGCAGGTCAGTATGGCCAAGCGACAGAGCACTAATCCGGAATGTGCGCAGAATGCTACACGTCACTTAGAGACCTGTTCCTCTCTCTGTCTGCTTCCATCTGCTGCATGCAGACAAGGAGGGCAGCCTTGGGAGCCACAGACTGAATATGGCAAAGCCACAAAATGGAAGGACCCTGGGTCCCCGAATCTCCGCTTTAAAGAGAGCTCTCTGCCCATTAGGAACACTCATTTGTCTTTATGTGAGTGAGAAACTTCTCTGGCTCTAAGCCATTGTAGATTTGGGGATTGGTTTGTTGCCACAGTTAGCACATCGCAGCCAACATGAGAGTGAAATGGGACAAACGGGAGCCGTGACAGATGCCCCATCTAAAAGAGGCACCACTACTAAGCATCAGCTGAGTGTGGCCATCCAGAAATACAGGACCAGTATGGTTGAGCTTCTGACTATTTCAAGAGAACCTAGAAATCCTGATTTTTTTATGGAAAAGCTCTTGATTTTTAAGTGATGTTTCAATTTGTTTGACAAGCATGCAATTATTTATTTATTTTTGAGTTTGAGTTAGGGCCTGGCTCTGTTGCCCAGGCTGGGCTATAGTGGCACGATCTTAGCTCACTGCAGCCTTGGCCTCCTGGGCTCGAGTGATCCTCCCACGTCAGCATCCCAAGTAGCTAGGACTACAGGTGCACGCCACCACACCAAACTAATTTTTTTTTTTTTTTGGTAGAGAGGAGGCCTTGCCATGTTGCCCAGTCTGGTTTCAAATTTCAGCGTTCAAGTGGTCCTCCTGCCTCAGCCTCTCAAAGTGCTGGGATTACAGGTATCAGCCATTGCACCCAGCCACAAGTGTTTAATTTTTAAAAGCCCATCTGTGGACAAAAGTTAGTACCCTGGCAGGTGTGAGTTGGAGGTGGTTCATTCATAAAGGACCCAGATTACTAAGCAATGAAGTCAAACTGAGTTATGGGGAGCCAACAAAGGGTTTGGTTCGATTTATATTTTATAAAAGTCTCTGGCTGGAGGATGAGGCTGGTTAAAAGGGGGCCAAGACTAGAGGCAGCGGGGGCAATTAGGAGACACAGCTTTGGAAAGAACATGGACCAAGAGGAGCGAGGGTCTGAAATAAGGCAGCAAAGACAGAAAATCCCCAGAATGATGACAGTATTCAGAAATGCAATCAGTGGCTGGGCCCAGTGGTTAACAACTGTAATCCCAGCACTTTTGGAGGCTGAGACAGGCAGATCACTTGAGCCCAGGAGTTCAAGACCAGCCTGGGCAACATGGAGAAACCCTGAGTCAATAAATAAATAAAGACAAAAATTAGGCAGGTGTGGTGTGGTTGGCACGTGCCTGTAGTTCCAGCTACTCAGGAAGCTAAGAGGAAAATCACTTGAACCTGGGAGGCAGAGGTTGCAGTGAGCTGAGATCATGCTACTGTACTCCAGCCTGAGTGACTCTGGGTCAGAGAGTGACTCTGTCTCAGAAAAAGAATGAAAAAGAAATGCTACCAGCAAAATGGCCAACTAAATGATGTACTAGAAAACAATCTAGAACAGTTCTCAGATTGCTGGCTCCAACAATGTGGTGAAAAAAAAAGAAACAAGAATCTAGAACATTTGTCAGATTTTGGGCTCCAACAAACAAGTGGTGGCCACACTCACTGAAATAGGTAATTCAGAGGAAACAGAGCATGAGGAGCAAGACTCAGGGGTGATGAGTTCCCTCTCAGGGAGAAATGTTGACTTGTCAGCAGCCATGGGTAGCAATGTCCAATAAACTGCGTAGGCACAGGTCTCATCCTCAAGAGAGAGCTGAGAGTTTTCTGCATCAACAGTACATAAGCGGTTGTTAAATCCATGAGTCTGAATGAGGCTACCCTGGGAGATCTATAGAGTCACAGAGCAAAGGGGATTGGATGGCTGCCCCAGGATTTAGCAGTCAGGCAAGCACTAGTGACTAATAGCATCCCTTTTCCGTTCCATGAAGGGTGGAAAGGGAGCCAGTTAACGAGCGAAGGAGACAAATGGAGGCAGTGAAAATGGGAGGACAGAGTGGGGCAAGAGCTGGAGGCACAGAGGATGTTTATTAGTCACTGTCACTGCCTGGGCCGTCAAGTAGACCAGGGAGAAAAATCACAGGAGGAATCTGAAATCTGTTTGGATTCATAACGCAAATTAGGGCTCTCCTAAAATTTGGAAGTTTCATGTTGTTGGTGTTTAATTTTTACTAGGGTTCCAGAACACACCATCCATGCCTCCTCTTCATCCAACTCAACTGGATGAAGGCCAGGGAGAAAAATCATAAGAGGAATCTGAAAATCTGTTTGGATTCATAATGCAAATTAGGGCTCTCCTAAAATTTGGATGTTTCATATTGTTGGTGTTTAATTTTCACTAGGGTTCCAGAATACACCATCCATGCCTCTTCATCCAACTCAATTGGCTAGATAACTGAATGTCAAGGTTACTCTTCCACTTTAAACCATGCAATGGCTTCCCATTGCTCTGAACATGAAAGGCCACAGTCTGTCTCCTGGGTGATTTTGGTCCTGCTACCTCTCCTTCCTCATTTACCACTCACTCTTCCCTCCACTCCTGCCCACCATCCACATGACCTCCTCTGTGGTTCGGGAAAGAATCACAGACCTTCCCAACACAGAGGACAGTCCCTACTTCTCCATTAGCTCCAATCCCTACCTGGTTATCTCCTATTCCTTCTTCTATAATAGATGTTGCTTCAAATGTCACTTCCTCAGGAAAGCCTTCCCTAACCCCTCTCCTCACTCACCAAGGCAGGTCCCCTCCTCCAGCCTCCCCCCGGCATCCTTGGCTTCCCTTCTGTTAGCAATTATACTTATTCATGGGAGTGGCTGACTAATGTCATAAATACATATGTGGTTACCAATGAAAATAAGTATATAAAGGGAGAACCCAGTGCCTGCCACCCACAGGTGCCTAATAAATGCTATCTGAATTAATACATATAAGGAAACTGAATTTGGAAACAACAGACACCCTTATTTAAGACTGCATGGCATATCACAACTGTAGGGACACTAATTGTTTTGGAGTGATCTTTATTGTACATGGGGGCTAGACAGTCACTTTTATCTTTTGCTGCAGAACAAAGAAAACTGGCAATTTTTTTAACTGCATTATATAAAAACTAAACTATGGTGAAAAATAAAATCAAACCATGGTTGCTTAGATTGGGTGAGGCAAGTGAGAAGAGATGGAAACATCTGCACAAGGGTAAAAGAAAACTTACTTATTGGGGTGGTCACGTGCTTTATCTTGACAGGGATTTGAGTTACACATGCGTATATAGTTTTCAAAACTCAGGAATATGTACTTAAGAGTTTTTTATTTCACTGGATGTAAAATTTACCTCAAAAAAGAGTCATAAACAAATACTGAAACCTAATCAATTATACACATGCTAAAGTATTTAGGGGTGACAGGTACCAACGTCTGCAACTTACTCTGAATACATCAAAAATAAGATGAATTGATGGATGGATAGTGAGACAGACAGACAGATGTATGATAAAGCAAAATGTTAATTGCACCATCTAGGTGATACATATAGGGGTGTTCACTATATATAGTTCCTTCTACTTTTCTGTGTGTTTGAAAATTTCATAAAATGTTGGGTGGGCAGGGAAGGACTGTACTGTATAACTGACAATATATTTACATTGTAATCAGCTCTCGTTTCAAATCCCAGCTCCACCACTTACAAGCAATGTGCCTCAGGCAAGTTGGTTTTTACATGGCCTCTCAATCTTAACTTCCTCCAAGCAAAATGGGCAAGAACTACCTGACAGTGTTGTCATGGGGACTCGATAAGATTAAACCCTTGATCCAGTGACTAACACAGTAATAGCTGTCTCATAAATGTTAGTCTTAGGCTTCTTATTCAGAAGTCAACATATTCACAAACTAGGACAAATCTTCAATAAAATGTGAAAGAAGAATCCTGTAAAAATTTTTTCTCTTGCTACACCCCAAGGGAAATTAAAAGAATAAATTAATTGTGCTATTTTTATAGGTAAAGACACTGACCTTCTATCAGTGGGACACGGGGAGTTCCATGTCTAAGGAGGGTGAGAGACCCACACTGTTGACACTTCCTCCCTGCATTTCCAGTGGCCAACACGACCCGTCGTCAGAGCTGGCCAAGGTTAGCAACATCCTCACATAGGGAGGAAAGATGGGGAACGTCAGCAGAATCTTAAGTAGCACGCTATAGCCAAGACTGCCGGTCTCCTTCCCAGATGTGCAAATGAAAAGAGCCAATCAGACAGGCCTTGAGATCTGCTAAGGCATCAGACACGCCGTCAGAAGTGGTAGTCACATGACTGTCTTGGCTTTTAGCATAATTACATGAACTGAGAGAGATGGCCTTATGATCATAAACAAAAGCCTCCGAATTGAGACTAATACTGTGTATCCAACTGAAAGATGGCTGCCAGGCTACCACGTGGACTTTGTGCTAGGTTTGAAAGGTGAAGGAAAGGAGGCTGTTCATGATGACAACAAAGGAGGAGGAGCTGCTGACATCTGGAAGCAAGGAAAAATTATACCTTTCCAGGCCAGAAAACCCAACCAATGCTCATTCAAGACTATTAGGCCTGATGTCTTAAAATCAGTGAAAGGGTTAATTATATGTCACAAGCGAGACACCATAATCAAAGGAAATTGCAATTTTTTAGAAGGCATCACTGTGTGCCTACTAGGTTGAACAGTTGGGACTATACACAGTGTTTGAAGCTGTCTTAGACTGCATGCAGCAAATCTGGCTCCCACCCTCTCTACCTTGAAATCTGATTCCCTTTTACATAATTATAAGCCCACCTAGTTGACTGTCCCCATTAAGCCTAGGTTTCAAACTCCCTGGAGACATGCACTCACTGTGGAAGCTTCCCTGCCTCTAGCGCATATATGGATAGGAGCACTGGTGTGCCAGGACCAGGTCATATCAGAGCCAAGCCAGTTGAGGCATTGCTTCCCAACTCCATCATCACGCTGGTAGCTTGAAATCAGCCATGGCGGGAATATTTATACCAGGAAAATTGACCAATACTATCAAGCAGGCCGCCTATCATTGTTATCTTTCATAGAACATGCTTACCAACATGTGAAGTTGTCTTTTAGGGCTACGAAGGAGGAGACAAATGTTCAGAAGTTTGCCCTGCAAACTGACCTTATTCAAAACAGACCTCTACCAAGGCCATGGTTAAAGGGCGATCAGGTTAAAAAGACATTTTTATACCACGTGCCCCTTCTCCTCTGGCGGCTGCTGAACAGATGAGGGGTAGATTCCCAGATTCTCTAACTCTATTGGGTTGGCCAGACTGCAGCAGCTTGATTCTTCCTCATGGAAATGTGGAGCTGGGACAGAGACTTGACGGTGGGCATTTACACTGAAGAGCCTTGCCCACTCCAGCTGCAGTGAGCACCACAGCCGGTGAAAAGCCCCACGCAAGGTTTAGTGTCCGGAGAACCAGGCAGTTATGGGTAAGCAAAAAAACCAGTCTGCAGGAAGGGGCAGAAGGATGAACCAGGCCATAGGAAGAAGAGGCACTGGGCCCAGCAGATGCACAGCCAGTCACCTTAGCCTGTTAATGTCCTGAAAGGCAATATCATAAAGCAGAGGGCGGGCTCTGGAATCAAACTGCCTGGGTTCCCATCTCTACTCTGATGGTTAACTAGTAGACACTGAACAAGTAACTGTTAGGTTATTCTGAAACATGAGGATGACAGCAGAACTTACTTCATAGGGTGGGTATGAGAATCAAATGAGCTGATACAAACAGTAAATGTTCGAAAGTATTCGTTGTTATTTCCATCAATTAGTTATCACATCCACGTGGCCTGGTTATATTTCATTCCTATTACAAATATGTGACCTGGGATTCCCCCGTGGCCTGAGGCCTCACACTTGAGCTAGTTTCAGTTGTGTAGTTAGGTGATCTGTGCCCTGAATCATAGAATAATTCACGAAGCCCTGGACCACTGTGTGACCTTTAGGAATCACTTCCTCAGCCCTCTCTTAGGAATAGTGTGAGATTCAAATAGGAAAATAAACTGAAAGCTTCGACAACCATGAACTGTTGTACCAAACTCTGGGGACTGTTATCCCTGCAGGGAAAAGCAAAGATATTACATTGGCCACAAGAATGGAAAACACTTGTTTAAAATGTGTTTATTGCTGGACTAGAAACTAGAGAAATATTCCGCACCCTACTGGAAAAAAGGTTCAGTTTCTGTAGGGTTCACCAGCTTGATTCATAGGTTCATCTCCAGTATTAATAAAATAATAATAGAAAACTGCCAAAGACAGTTCTAGGACACTGATTTTTTAATACACTTTTGCCTGGCTTAATTATATCCAAAATAATGCCTGAAGACTGATCCTCCCATTCTTTTCAAAACCAAGACTTCTTAATTGATAATGAAGGATAAGATCTGGAGATATTTTTATTCATCCCTTTTCAACAAGAACTTAAAAGCCACACTGTGAATTTCAACACATTTTCTTCTCACACTTCCCATTTTTCTTCAGCCTTCCTGGGTTTGCTGTTGACATCTGATAAATAAAAAGGCGAGTGACAGGACAGGAGCATTCATTATTAGGGACAGAGGCAGGCAGACAGGTCTGGGAGTCCCAGTTTCATTCTAGATACTTCATGCCATATTTCATGCGGAAAGACTGAAGGTAGAAGTATTCTAGGCTTTCCCATTTACTGGAACTGCATAAATACCAAAGCCATTTTATGCATCTGACGTCAGGAGATTTTATTTCCAGCTAAGAATAGATTTAACATATAAATCTCAATCTAAATCGAATTCACCTCTCGTGGTTAGGACGCTTGGGCAAAGCCGCGCCTGAGTGAATAGGAGGCAGGTGCAGCAGCGACCTTGGCCTATGCTTGAGGCGGCTACTTGGCCTTATTTATATCTACAAGATTGGTTAAAACACAAGTTTGTCCCCATTCTACATGGCGTTTAAAAAGGCCCATGATTTCTCTTAAATGTCTGTGAAAGCATCACCTAGGGAAGGAAGCCAAGGAGTAAAGGAAAATGGGCAGAATCGTCTAAGGAGATATTTTAACTCTAGGTTTGAATCTGACCTGTGCTGTTAAAGCTATTCTCTTTTATAATAAAAGGCCTTTCCCTGTTTCTAACAGATGTTCAAGTTCTCTCATGACACAATTTAGTTAGCACGGAAAGAGGGTCATAATATAGCGTTAAGGGAAAAAAGCAAGTTGCTACATATTATACCCTTTATACCAGAAATAAAAAATAAATAAATAAATAAATAAGGGAGGTGGCTGGGCGTGGTGGCTCACGCCTGTAATCCCAGCACTTTGGGAGGCTGAGGTGGGCAGATCACCTGAGGTCAGGAGTTTGAGACCAGCTTGACCAACATGGAGAAACCCCCTCTCTACTAAAAATACAAAATTAGCCACATGTGGTGGTACATGCCTGTAATCCCAGCTACTCAGGAGGCTGAGGCAGGAGAATCGCTTGAACCCAGGAGGCAGAGGTTGCAGTGAGCTGAGATCGCACCATTGCACTCCAGCCTGGGCAACAAGAGCAAAACTCCATCTCAAAAAAAAAAAAGTGAGGCTACATCTATGGATATAAATATTTGTATGAAGAGGTCTGGAAGGATCCATCATACTTGCTTAACAGCACAACTCTAGGGAATAGCAAGGTGATATGGTTTGGCTGTGTCTCCACCCAAATCACACCTTGAATTGTAGTTCCCATAATCCCCACGTATCGTGGAAGGGACTCGGTGGGAAGTAAGTGAATCATGGGGACAGTTACCCCCATGCCAGTCTTGTGATAGTGAGTTCTCACAAGGTCTGATGGTTTTATAAGGCATCTCCCCACCTCACTCGGCACTTCTCTTTCCTGCCATAATGTGAAGAAGGATGTGTTTGCTTCCCCTTCCGTCATAATTGTAACTTTCCTGAGGCCCCCCAAGCCATGTGGAACTAACTATGAGTCAATTAAACTTCTTTCATTTACATATTACTCAGTCTCGGGCAGTCCTTTACATTAGCGTGAGAGTGGACTAATACACAAGGCCAACAGGGCCCTTTGCATTTTACTGTACCTACTTCATTCAGTATTGCTTGAATTTTATAAAGTATATATTACTTTCATAATTGTTTTAAAGCCAATGAAGATTGAAGATACGCCTATATTTATCTGCGCCTCACACTGGAACTATGACAGCAAGCTGTGGGAAAACTCTTCTCTTTTCAGAATGAAAATCCTTGGCTAGGCTTGGCTGCTAATGCAGGAAGAAGCAGGAAATGCAGATGGTGGAACTCCACCAAAACATCTGCTTATGGTTCATGAAGACACAGACAGGGGATAGGGGAAGAAGGGAAGATCTTGAGGCTCTTATCCATAGATGAGAAAACAAAAGCCCTGAAAAGTGAAATAATTTGATAAAATAACAGCCAGGAGTGACCTCAGTCTCCCGAACGCATCCGATGCAATTTTCCCTCACCCAGGCTGTTTTCCTAGACCTTAAACCAAAGTAGTGTCTGCTGAT